TTTCTTAAATAAAATTTTCTTACAACAGAATATATCTTTTTCGAGAAAAGCTATTAAAAGCGTTATTGCGAGCTCTCGTAGTTTTATACATACATAAGAGGACGTGAAATAAATGTCTATCGCTCGTTCTTCCATCGCCCAAAACGAAGAACTCGCGTGTTAAAGTTGCGTGTCTAAGAAAGAAGCGGGTGAACGATGAGAAGCAGACTAAAAGCGAAGAAGCAAAAAGGAAGAAACGCAAGACCACACCATACCCCAAATAGGAACAGTTGACACATCTTGTCTGAATGCATTGTGCTGTTTGTTGTAGCCACGCAAGAAAATCGTCAAGCAGATTACCACTGCCAAACAGAGAATAACGTGCCGGGCAATCAGCAGGGTGTCTTCCTCTCTCCCTGTCTGCCTTCATTTTGGACCCCAGACAATGGTTGGTGGGGTTACTATCCTCTTCCGTATCCTGGTGTCGCGGACGACTCTTATCCTTATCATCCCGACAACACTGCCTACGTGTACTTCCCAATTTACAATCATCAACAAAATTATCCACCTTACCCTCAATACGATCCGATGATGAACGATAAAATGACCGCGTATGCCAATGTCTATCCATCTTACGTCGTCCCTGCTGCTCCACAGAGTAACAATAACTGTAGCCATAACTGTGAACAAGTCGATCGTACTGGCGATCCCGTACTAGCAAAAATTCATCCAACGACGAACGTTACAAATATTCCAGATATTCCACAGAATGTTCAGGAGCATAACCTAGGAGGGAACAGGGGACTCGAAAGTAGAATTATAGGGGAGAATGACGACTCGAAGGATGTGCCACAGTGGGAGAAAGCGAACAGCGTGTCACGAACAGCTAGCAACACTAGCAAGGACAGCGATTGCACCACCGCGATGAATATCACCGACGAGGAGGAGATTCCTGACCAGATCGTCATATCAGAGATAAACGAGGACGATCAGGGTTCCGACAGGCCGGAGACGAAGTCTTGCACGAACGGAAGTCTCAACGTTAACGTTCCGAATTACACTTACATCGACACGAGCGACTCCAGCGACTCCACCGACTCTGAATCGCAATCCGACAACGAGTCGATCATCGAATCGTTTAAAAGCGACTCCGACGATTCTTCTACCGACAGCGACGACTCCGATTCTTATTTGGCCTATTCTACGGGACTGAATGCTCGCGGGAGGTCGGAGAACGACGACGAGAAGAACTCGTCGAGCAAAGAGTCGTGCAACGAGGAAGAAAATTTCGAGTCGTCTGACAAGAACAACTCCGATTCCGAAGCGGAAGACGTTGAAGAACAGGAGCAGGAGTTCGAGAGAACGGAGACCGGCACGTTTCCTCATCAACTGAGCGTGATTTACGAAGACGTCGAGCAACCGGAGTCCGAAAGTCCTAGACCTCGAAGCGTCAAAGGTTGGAACGAGACGCCTTTCGAAGCGACCGATGATCCTCCCGACGATTCTGACGCGCCGACGGTCAGCGTGAGTCTGCCATTGAGGTTTAAGTTCTCCGTGTCTGAAAACAACGAGGACGTGACCACGGTGATCGTCGGAGACAGCACGATCAAGCCCGAGAGAGGTTATAACAGGGAAGAAAGTAGGAGATTGAAGACTCAGGACGATAAGAGCCACTCGGAAAGAACTGCCGAAGTTTCCGCGGATTTTGTAGTTAAAAAGGAGAGTATCAATGTCAGACGAAAACCGAAGGATCTCTCTAACGAAAGGACCAAAGAGGAGACCGTGGTACCTCACGTGAATTTCACTTTGAGGAAGATTCCTACCAGATTTAGCAAAATCAATTGCGAGGAGACTGTGGAGACAGAGTTCACGATCAGGAGGAAGACGAGCGTGAAGAGGGAGGAGGATAGGACGAACAGGGTCCAAGAAGAACGCGCGAATGTGAAAGATAACGATGATTCGGCGAGCAGAGAGAACAAAGAGAGTAATTCCGTTTACGTAGCGAAGGAAACCAATTCGGAGGCGCGCGACTTCAACAGAAACATCCTGAAGCCGGAAGTGATCGTCTCTGAGTGCAATTGGACGGACGAGTCCTCGCAGCGCAACGAAAGACCATCCGACCAGTTCCAAAACGCGGACTCGAAGGTAGAGCGAGTGGATAACTCACGAGTGAACAGTGACGGTTCGAAGAGAAGCAAGAACGAGGAGGACGCCGAGGAAAAAACAGGAAAGGAGTCGAAGCACCTGCTGAGCATACAGAATTCTCGAGAAGAAACGGATGACGAAGACAGTGGCGTCACTTCCGACATGAGTCGCATGATCTCCGAGGCAGACACCGATTCGGAATGCACCTCGTCGAAGAATATGAGGAAATATCAGAGAACTCAGACGCACTCGAGATTGTTCAGGCTTCTGAACGACGACTCGGTGCTTCCTGAAGGTGCGGAGAAAAGCAACGAGTCCTCCACGACGAAAGAATATCTCAGCCTACCTTTGAACAGCAACAGTTTCAATTACGACGAGAATTATTGTTCCAATTACTCCAGTGGCGTAACCTCTCCGGAATATTCGCCGATCAGCGAACAATCGTGGAAAAGGCTTCACGATGCGGACAGCTCGGGGACACCGGATCAAAATGGCGACGTCTTCCGGCAAGGTCATCCCCTGACGCAACAAGATCGAATCTCCTGCAAAGAGGACCCATACTATCAAGCTTGGAAAACCTCGAGATCTCCGGCGCAATCGTTGGATCACGATGTCGTGCCATCGTTGGCCTTCAAGGTACTCGAAAGTAGAAGGCCGTTGTGGTCGTACAAGGTGAATGTACTCTGTCCACGGATCAAAAGTACGAAAAGCGTGCCGCAAACGTTGCGAACGAACAAACAGGCCGATTCGACGGTATCGTCCTCTTCAAATCCCTTGTCCTTCCAAGTGAACTTAAAAACCGACCATTGCTGATGGCCCGGGGCAGAATGAGGCCGCGTTTGGCCGCGAGCAACCGGTCCACGGACGAGCCTCGCGCAACTTTTCTCTAGATTCGCAAGACTGGGCTGACTATATGCCCGGGGGGCTACAGGCTACGTGGTTTTTTTTTCTATCGGTACATATCGTTTCCATATATCTATATATCTATATATATATATTTATCTACTCGCATTTTCTTCCTGATTTTTTTTCTTTTTCTATATTTTATTTATTTTATTTATTTTACTTCTTTATCTCTCTCTCTCT